GCCCCTTCAGTAGCCTGGAACCTAACCTGCTGTATAAGTGGGCCCCTTCAGTAGCCTGGAACCTAACCTGCTGTATAAGTGGGCCCCTCCAGTAGCCTGGAACCTAACCTGCTGTATAAGTGGGCCCCTTCAGTAGCCTGGAACCTAGCCTGCTGTGTAAGTGGGCCCCTCCAGTAGCCTGGAACCTAACCTGCTGTATAAGTGGGCCCCTTCAGTAGCCTGGAACCTAACCTGCTGTGTAAGTGGGCCCCTCCAGTAGCCCAGAACCTAACCTTCTGTATAAGTGGGCCCCTTCAGTAGCCTGGAACCTAACCTGCTGTGTAAGTGGGGCCCTCCAGTAGCCCAGAACCTAACCTGCTGTATAAGTGGGCCCCTTCAGTAGCCTGGAACCTGGCAATATAAACACAAATGCAGTATAATGTGATCCTTTATTGACTACGTTTCGCCCACACAGTGGGCTTTTTCAAGTCACAAACAGAACTACCTGGGGTGGAAGGAAAGCGAGTATTTATAGTCCGGCTCAGGTCAGGTGAAGAATGCTGCATCTGATGATGTGCCGAGTTGGGTTGTAGAGTCTAAAAACTTGGGTAGCTTGGAAAGGAGACTGGACAAGTTTGTGAGCAGACCTTCTACAGTGTTCTTATGTGGGATAGCGATGAAGAAGTTTCTTGGCAAGTGGTTCAGCTATGTTATAGAAGCCACTATTCTGGTTGAAGTTGTCGGATATAGAAATAAGTGAGGATTCCAGGATTCTTCGGTATTGGGTGTTGTCTTCTGTGGCGATAAGTCTTGAGTTTCTGTAGTTTATCAAGTGGTTGTGTGAATTACGGTGTTGTACGCATGCATTCCTTGTGTCGTCAGACCTGCTTGCGTATTGGTGTTCTGAAATACGTGTTTGGAGGTCCCTTGATGTTTCGCCCACGTATAACTTGTTGCAGTCATTACAAGGGATTATGTATACCCCTGCAGAGGATGGAGGCTTGTCCTGCCTACTACTGGTGATGTCCTTGATGGTCGTGGTTGTGGAGGTAGATACTTGGAATGATGTTTTGGCAAAGATGCTGGAAACATGTTTGGCAATGGAGTTGGTGGGAAGGACTATGTATCTCTTCTCGGCAGTGTCTTCTCTGGGTGTGTTGAAGATGTTTAGTGCTCGCCGTCTGCAGTCTCTGATGTCTTGACCTGTCTGGCACTTCCACAAAAAACCTAACCCATTTCCCAGAGGCAAGCCTGAGGGAGAGGAGGTAGGTGGTTGCATTGGGTCTGATCGCATTCGCAACATCAACATCAGGAACAAGAAACTTTCCAGCCTTGACGTGACTTCCCTATTCACTAAAGTACCTACTAAACAAGCCATCGATCTCTTGCGCAAGAAAATTGACGATTCACTTGATCTTCCCATTCCAGCCAGCGACTTCATCGACCTGGTTGAACTATGTGTTGGCTTTACGTGTTTCTCTTTTGAAAATCACCTCTTTCAGCAGACTTTTGGACTACCCATGGGTTCGCCACTCAGTGCAGTCCTAGCGAACCTATACATGGAACATCTAGAAGCCGAACGTTTCTCCACCATTATTCCTTCGTCTGTCACCTGGCTCCGTTATGTTGACGACATTCTCCTCATAACTCCTAAACGCTTCAACGTTCAAGCTCTCCAAGACAAGCTCAACCAGGTCGAGCCTTCAATCCAGTTCACACTTGAAGAAGAGGTCGACAACACTCTTCCTTTCCTTGATGTTCTACTCTGCAAAGCTGACCACGAACTTCGTTTTAAAGTCTATCGAAAACCCACCAACCAAAACGATCTTCTCCACTTCTACTCTCACCACGACACCAAAACCAAACGTGGTGTAATTATAGGCTTTTTCCTGCGTGCACTCAGAATCTGCAGCAACGAGTTCCTTGAGGAAGAATGCACTATAATTGAACAGGTATTTTCCAAACTCCACTATCCTCGTCACTTCATCAGAGACTGCAGACGGCGAGCACTAAACATCTTCAACACACCCAGAGAAGACACTGCCGAGAAGAGATACATAGTCCTTCCCACCAACTCCATTGCCAAACATGTTTCCAGCATCTTTGCCAAAACATCATTCCAAGTATCTACCTCCACAACCACGACCATCAAGGACATCACCAGTAGTAGGCAGGACAAGCCTCCATCCTCTGCAGGGGTATACATAATCCCTTGTAATGACTGCAACAAGTTATACGTGGGCGAAACATCAAGGGACCTCCAAACACGTATTTCAGAACAATACGCAAGCAGGTCTGACGACACAAGGAATGCATGCGTACAACACCGTAATTCACACAACCACTTGATAAACTACAGAAACTCAAGACTTATCGCCACAGAAGACAACACCCAATACCGAAGAATCCTGGAATCCTCACTTATTTCTATATCCGACAACTTCAACCAGAATAGTGGCTTCTATAACATAGCTGAACCACTTGCCAAGAAACTTCTTCATCGCTATCCCACATAAGAACACTGTAGAAGGTCTGCTCACAAACTTGTCCAGTCTCCTTTCCAAGCTACCCAAGTTTTTAGACTCTACAACCCAACTCGGCACATCATCAGATGCAGCATTCTTCACCTGACCTGAGCCGGACTATAAATACTCGCTTTCCTTCCACCCCAGGTAGTTCTGTTTGTGACTTGAAAAAGCCCACTGTGTGGGCGAAACGTAGTCAATAAAGGATCACATTATACTGCATTTGTGTTTATATTGCCATTGTGTCGGTATTTTATACCATTTATTTCCAGCCTGGAACCTAACCTGCTGTATAAGTGGGCCCCTCCAGTAGCCTGGAACCTAACCTGCTGTATAAGTGGGCCCCTCCAGTAGCCTGGAACCTAACCTGCTGTATAAGTGGGCCCCTTCAGTAGCCTGGAACCTAACCTGCTGTATAAGTGGGGCCCTCCAGTAGCCCAGAACCTAACCTGCTGTATAAGTGGGGCCCTCCAGTAGCCCAGAACCTAGCCTGCTGTATAAGTGGGCCCCTTCAGTAGCCTGGAACCTAACCTGCTGTATAAGTGGGCCCCTCCAGTAGCCTGGAACCTAACCTGCTGTATAAGTGGAGCCCTCCAGTAGCCCAGAACCTAGCCTGCTGTATAAGTGGGCCCCTTCAGTAGCCTGGAACCTAACCTGCTGTATAAGTGGGTCCCTCCAGTAGCCTGGAACCTAACCTGCTGTATAAGTGGGGCCCTCCAGTAGCCCAGAACCTAGCCTACTGTATAAGTGGGCCCCTTCAGTAGCCTGGAACCTAACCTGCTGTATAAGTGGGCCCCTCCAGTAGCCTGGAACCTAACCTGCTGCATAAGTGGGGCCCTCCAGTAGCCCAGAACCTAACCTGCTGTATAAGAGGGGCCCTCCAGTAGCCCAGAACCTAACCTGCTGTGTAAGTGCGGCCCTCCAGTAGCCCAAAACCTAGCCTGCTGTGTAAGTGGGGCCCTCCAGTAGCCCAGAACCTAACCTGCTGTATAAGTGGGCCCCTTCAGTAGCCTGGAACCTAACCTGCTGTATAAGCAGGGCCCTCCAGTAACCCAGAACCTAACCTGCTGTATAAGTGGGGCCCTCCAGTAACCCAGAACCTAACCTGCTGTATAAGCAGGGCCCTCCAGTAACCCAGAACCTAACCTGCTGTATAAGCAGGGCCCTCCAGTAACCCAGAACCTAACCTGCTGTATAAGTAGGGCCCTCCAGTAACCCAGAACCTAACCAGCTGTATAAGCAGGGCCCTCCAGTAGCCCAGAACCTAACCTGCTGTATAAGTGGGGCCATCCAGTAGCCCAGAATCTAGCTTGCTGTATAAGCGGGGCCCTCCAGTAGCCCAGAATCTAGCTTGCTGTATAAGCAGGGCCTGCCTGTACTTAATGTTTATGTGAACCGTGAGGTTTGCACACTTCTTGAAAGAGAATGATTGATGGTGAACAAGTTTAATTCTTTAATTCAGCCGATGTGTTGTCTGTTACTAGCTCTGGGTATTATCTTTCCCACAACCCAGTCTCAGACCAGGCCCCTAGGTTATAAGGAAATATTACCGGATTTTGACAGCACTGTATGACCCTTTTGGGTTTAGCACTTGATTTTGTAATAATATTATAATCAAAACTAAGAGCTAAACCGAAAAGGGTCATACAGCACTGAAGGGTAGGGTGTATTGTTTAATATGCTTGATCAGGGACCAGCGAGGGTGGAGAGTATAACAGAGGTAGAGTCAGTAAGGACGGTGAGGAGTGCTAGAGAAAGTATAATCGAAGTTTGTGCAGTAAATCAGTTGGTGTCAAAGTCAAAGAGGGAGTCTGTGTCAAAGGTGGGGCTGTCAGCGAGGAGGGAAGATAAAGGGGTTAGAGCGGTGATGATGCTGGAGGTGTAATAATAATATTACAGGATTAAGAACCAATAAGAAGCATATAAGGGAAGTAAATGTATGTGTATAGTGAAAGTAAGAAATTTGTAAGATTTACTTGTCATCTTATATGTTGAGACAAAGATTTACTTGTCATCTTACATGTTGAGACAAAGATTTACTTGTCATCTTACATGTTGAGACAAAGATTTACTTGTCATCTTACATGTTGAGACAAAGATTTACTTGTCATCTTACATGTTGAGACAAAGATTTACTTGTCATCTTACATGTTGAGACAAAGATTTACTTGTTATCTTATATGTTGAGACAAAGATTTACTTGTCATCTTATATGTTGAGACAAAGATTTACTTGTTATCTTATATGTTGAGACAAAGATTTACTTGTCATCTTATATGTTGAGACAAAGATTTACTTGTCATCTTACATGTTGAGACAAAGATTTACTTGTCATCTTACATGTTGAGACAAAGATTTACTTATCATCTTACATATTTATGAGACAGAAAGAACAGCTCAATCAGTGCAGAAAAACTAAAAGTTCTTATTTCACACTCGTCTGACAGGACAATAGTACCTTGACCTACAAATTAATTAATTCTTCTCTGTCGACAGGTGTACAATGCAGTGCAGCTTCTGGAGTACTGTCAAGGCTTCCTGCTGCAGAACATGGTTGCACTCCTGACGTATGACGACTCTGTTCGCCGCCTCATCTTTGGCAAAAAGCTCCACAATCATGACGTTCTAGCCGGTCTTCTGCTGACTTTGCAGGCACGTATTAAGGCTCGCTCATCTCCGCGTGCTGGAAAAAAATGAACATCAGAAATGGCCGAGATTTTCAATTACCCGGTAAACTTCAACTTCAAGAAACCAAAGTTGTGTATTAAAAAAAGCGACCACATTTCCCAATAATTAAAAATGATAGTCCTTTGAGACGTATGGCTGTATTGAGGCTTCAGAACTCATGTTTGAAAAACATGTGAAATTACTCAGTGCAATTTGTCCTATATCTGAAAGATCACAAACATTGGCAATATTAAAAATTTTATAATGAAAATATCCACATTAGGTGGTTTGTGTATCCTCTACATATTACATTGGCAGTGTTTTATAAATTCATATAATGGATAAGCTGGATTATCTCTTAGAATACAAATATATTAAGATTTATAGAGAGTGACTTACTGAATTTTCAGTCGACTGAAAGGATAAACAGTCATGGTATTGTAGCTGAAACAGTCCACAAAAATACTCTACATTTAAAAGCAGAATTTCATGATGTTTAAGTCCTTCCTGAGACATCATTGATGCCCAGATGTCACAGTGGTCCAGAACGAACCAAAATATCATAAGATTCCTAGTATAAATGTTTGTTTTTGTGGATTCAGTCAACTGTGTTACTGAAAGATGCAGCAACTTACTAAAGGTTCAGTATTTTGTAGCACCTAGTCCCAGTTTGTTACTGACACGTAGTGACTTACTGAAGGTTCAGTCGACTTGTCTGAAGTGATGCCCTGGGTTGCAGATACAAGCTCAAAACTAATTCGTCTGCAGGCAGGTGAAATCCAAGACACTTCCCGCTGCCTCTGCCTGCAACATCGCACTAGTAATCATAATACACTGGTTTACCCCTGTCTTTGAATTTCTAAGCTTCATATATTCCTGGAATAAAGACCACATAGGAAATAAACCACTGGGTTTTCCTGGGTTTATCCTGTGTTTTTAACCCTCCAGGATAAAAAAAAAATATAAAAAAAAAAATCTGAAGTAAAACTGAACATTGTGAAACATTAATCTGCTCACCACATTTGCTAATTTTACATTATCTTGTCCCTACAATCATACATGTATCCACAGGGATGTGCTAAACCCATAGGGATAACACAGCCCTTGGGAAATAAGGGTAATTTAACTAGATGAAAGGGGAAGGTAGCACTAAGTTCCCATAGTCTTGAAGATACTATATACTTACATTTTCAGTTATTTCACCTTTAAAAAGTTTATAGTCTGCTGGCCAGACCATAAACCTAATTAATACTTTGCTTAAACAATATAGTCTATCATTTCTTTATTGAAAAATATTCGTGAAAATATGGGCTCTAAATTTTGTCATATTAATGTCATTAAAGATAGCCTTTCTATCTTTTAATGTACAAAATAATTTATACGGAAATGTTAATTTTAACTTCATTTTGTAGACTGGCAAAACCTCAGTCATTACAGGTCTTTTTATTCATAGTGTTCTGTGTTGTAAACCCGTAAAGTCGACCTCCGGCTGTCAGCAGATTAATTCAGCATAGCTTTTATACAGTATTGTAGTTTTATCTTGAAATGTGTAATATAAACTTGTTAAATAAGAGGTTAGTTAGATTTGGTACTGGTTAAATGTAACTCTGCAAGACTCAGGAGGAAAGGTAGCAAAGTCCAATTACCAAATATTGATGCTGTTGGAAAATTCAGCAGTGTACACCAACAACAGTGTACATTGTACATCAGTAGTGTACACCAACAACAGTGTACATTGTACATCAGTAGTGTACACCAACAACAGTGTACATTGTACATCAGTAGTGTACACCAACAACAGTGTACATTGTACATCAGTAGTGTACACCAACAACAGTGTACATTGTACATCAGTAGTGTACACCAACAACAGTGTACATTGTACATCAGTAGTGTACACCAACAACAGTGTACATTGTACATCAGTAGTGTACACCAACAACAGTGTACATTGTACATCAGTAGTGTACACCAACAACAGTGTACATTGTACATCAGTAGTGTACACCAACAACAGTGTACATTGTACATCAGTAGTGTACACCAACAACAGTGTACATTGTACATCAGTAGTGTACACCAACAACAGTGTACATTGTACATCAGTAGTGTACACCAACAACAGTGTACATTGTACATCAGCAGTGTACACCAACAACAGTGTACATTGTACATCAGTAGTGTACACCAACAGTGTACATTGTACATCAGTAGTGTACACCAACAGTGTACATTGTACATCAGTAGTGTACACCAACAACAGTGTACATTGTACATCAGTAGTGTACACCAACAACAGTGTACATTGTACATCAGTAGTGTACACCAACAACAGTGTACATTGTACATCAGTAGTGTACACCAACAACAGTGTACATTGTACATCAGTAGTGTACATCAACAACAGTGTACATTGTACATCAGCAGTGTACACCAACAACAGTGTACATTGTACATCAGTAGTGTACACCAACAGTGTACATTGTACATCAGTAGTGTACACCAACAACAGTGTACATTGTACATCAGTAGTGTACACCAACAACAGTGCACACCATATTCTGTACAATCAGAAGTGCCAGACCCTGAGTGGTACGAGGGTTGGTATGTATGTGAAGTGTTTACACATACTTGACAAACCTTCCTATATATCGAGTTTCTCATATACTCACCGATCAGTGAAGTTTCTTAAATATATTAAGAATAGAATTGTATTTAAATGTAGAACTGAAGAACTAAAAAACAAACGTACATTTTATCTAGAAAATTGAAGAACAAAACCTCAGGAGTAAATAGAGGTTTTTTTAATCCACAGAATATACATATATATACACTTTTTTTTTTTTAATGATTTCTATAATACAGTGGCTAAAAGTGATCTTTTTGGTTGATCCAGAACTTGTAAGTGAACTTTTAAGTGTCCATTGTTTTGTGCCAAATATTGTGTCAACCTCTGAAATATTTTGACAGATTTTGAAAGTGTTCCAGTTCGTAAGGGATTGTTGCTGTAAGAAATTGAAAAATCCTCAGACAAAAACGTGACTGCATCGGTGCATGGGAAGTCTGAATGCTCAATATCTATACATAAATTGATTATAACTATGTAGTCAGCTCGACTGAAGAGGAATCTCGCCACTTGTTGCAATATAACCAAAACTGGCAAGAAATCTGGTGCTCATGCAAGTTCATTTCTCTGGGAAGCTCAATACTTTAAGTTGGTTTCTCTGAATTTGGAAAATCTGAAGAGGGTGTACCAGGGCTTCCAAGAAGTGCTGATACTAGTGTGAGGTACTGGTACTAGTGTGAGGTACTGGTACTAGTGTGAGGTACTGGTACTAGTGTGAAGTCTGGTACTAGTGTGAAGTAATGGCCCCTGAAACCCTCTCCAGGTAAACTCCAGGTAGTATGAAGTACTGGTACTAGTGTGAGGTACTGGTACTAGTGTGAGGTACTGGTACTAGTATGAAGTAATGGCACTAGTGTCAAGTAATGGCACTAGTGTGAAGCAATGGCACTAGTGTGAGGTACTGGTACTAGTGTGAACCCACAGCACCCAGAAATGCCTTTTTTTTTTTTGTTAGGTAAAAGGCCACAGATACAGCTAGTGTGACCTTTTATTGTGACAACATTTTGCTCTCCAGGAATTTCATCAAACCATTAGGTAACGGCTCGACAAAGCTCCTGGAGAGCAAAACATTGCCACAATAAAAAGGTCACACAAGTTGTATCCATGGTCATTTACCTAACATTTTGTCGGTATTATTTTCTGCATATGTTTGTTATTTGTTGGTATGTTATCAACCGTTTTCCGCATTTTCATTTATGAATGATTATTACCCTGAAGATTTTTCAAAAAAGTTATTAAATTTATGTTAACGAGACATCTAGAATAAATTTTAACTATTGAATTTGAAATAATTTATTTTTATATTCAAAAGGAAAAAATTCGTAGCTGTTTTGAATGTACAGGTGCTCCGCGACTTATGATATTTCTAAGTTACGATGGTGTAAAAGCAATTACAGGGGAACCTCCGTATCCAGGGGTCCTGTATCCATGGTTTCAGTATCCACAGTTTGCCGTGGCCTGAAAATAACCCATAATTTTGCTTAATAATGGCATCAAAGTGTAAAAGTAGTGATGTTGGAAGGTCTTCAAAGCCTAAGAGAAGCTGTCAAGTGCTTCCCATCAGCGAAAAAGTGATAATTCTCCACTTGTGCATAATTTATCAATAAAACTTCATAACAGGCATGTAAATGAAAAATGAGTTACATGTATATACACATACACTGATCTCTGGCTGAAGGAGACTCGAACCTACGAACCTTAGGACAAGGTACGCAGTGCTTTACCAATCTACCCACACTGGACCTAGTGCGGGTAGATTGGTAAAGCACTGCGTACCTTGTCCTAAGGTTCGTAGGTTCGAGTCTCCTTCAGCCAGAGATCAGTGTTTGTGTATATTTCGCATGCTCTCGCGAATTCCTTGCATGTATATACATATGTACAGTATAGGGTTTGCTACTATCCGCTATTTCGGCATCCACGGCAGATCCTTGGCAAGTATCCCCTACAGATACAGGGGTCATACTGTACTTTGGAGATGAAACTTAAGATAGTTACCCAGCATGAAGGCGGAAAATCTGTAACTTGTATTCATTTATTTTTCAACACTGGTACAGGTCCACCATCACAAATGCAGCAACCAGACATCCAGTTCCATCAGTTATTACACTAATTTCGGCTAGCATAATTTCAAATTTCCAGGGTCGTCACACCAGCCTGTTGGTACTGTGGTGGCACTGCTTACTGCATAAGTCATTCCAACTTCTTTTTCTCCATTTATTGTTATAACCTGCTTACTTTTAGCCCTAGCCGTGGTTCCAACGAATAAAAGAAATGTTTCTCGTTATGTAAAGCACCTACACAGTACATTGTCCATTAAATATAAGGTGGCTTTGAAGCCACTGTCGGCTGCCATGAGCTCGGTCTCGTGATGCAGGGGAATATGCTTTATTATTATGCTAATATCAACACTACGGCTTATCTGCCTATCACAATTCATCCAATATGACATAATAAACAATATAACATAAAAACATGTTAAATACTCCAGAATTAATAATACAGTACTTGGCATAATATCAAGCGGTTCGACAGAGGTATGAAGAGGATATGGGATACAAGTACCATTCTCCCATCCCTGTCTTGGAGGCTTGTATTAACCCTTTCAGGGTCCAGAGGCCAAATTTCAAAGTGTGCACCAGTATCCAAGAATT